TGCCGTCTCCAGGCGGCAATTTTTTTCTGCTCGCGCGCGCCCCCTAGCGGGCACGCACGGGCAGAAAAGACCCGCTAAATGCACACACCCGTTACCGGGTGTTTCACATATAGGCGATCGGCGGGTCCATAGCACGCGGATGTCAACTGGTTAAAAGCTTGTACCACTCATCAGTTTAGTATTAACAGTGACGGATGGCCCTAGAATTATTGCTTACACTCTGACGTCCACCATGATATGCAACATGTGCGGCATAGTGGCCGCAATTGTCGTTTTTTGCATGTAGGCGAACCTGATGCATGTTTGCGTGTGTATGTGGGGGCAGGGGACTTTTCTCAGGTATGACTAATTTTTTTGTGATTTGAATTTTTTTTCTTACAATTAACTTTATTATCACAGAGGGGACTAAGAAGTCCCCTCTGTGATATAAAATTACAGTGACAGGTCCTCTTTATGGAGACATCAGGGGTCTCTAAAACCTCTGTCACCTAGGGACCCCGAAAGAAGCTGATGTAGCCGAAGGATGACAGCTGAATGCGGAAGTGATGTAACATACATCACTTCCGCATTCACAACACCAGGGGGGAGATCAATGGGAAATTGTGTACTGAACTTCCTGCACAGAGCCACACTGCCAGTCTTGAGCCCGCACGGAGCACAGGGAGCCTGGGATTGGCGATGAAGGGGGCATCTTTCTCCTAGCAATCATTTTAAGTAAAGTTCCACTTTTCACTTTCAATACTCTCCAAAAAAATAAAGATTTTAACCCTAAGCAGATTAGCATTAGTCCGAGACATCCAGTGGATGATCCAAACGCTAAAAGAAGGATTTAACCGTCATCATTTGGTCAAAGAGCACTTGATCGACTTTTTATCAGACTCAGACGCTAGGTTTTTAGAAACGCTTTAACCACCTGCTGTCCGGCCGTTGTAATTAAACGGCCGGACAGCGGCTTCTTGAACGCGGGTGGGCGTCTTTAGCACGAGCGGGAAACCGGCTTTGAATGTAAGCAGCCAGCGATGGCTGTTTACATACAAGCGTTCGGGCGTCTGTAGGGACGCCCGATCGCTTGTAATATACGTGCGGGTGTGCGACTACGCTGTACATGAGCTCCGTTTGATCTCCTCCTCCTCTTCGGAATGCAGGCAGTGATGTGTATTACATCACTGCCTGCATTCCTCTGTCACTCTCCGGTACAGAAAACGGAGAGAAGCTGGTGAAGCAGGTCTCTGCTTCATCAGCTTCTCTGGGGGTCCCTCGGTGACATTAGGGGTCTTAAAGACCCCTGATGTCTCCATAAAGAGGACCCATCACTGCAAATTGGCTATCACATAGGGAGCTTGTTTGCTCCCTATGTGATAGCAATAAAGTTCAGTGAAAAAAAAAAGGTTTAAAAAAATGAAAGTAACAAAAAATTAAACAATTAAGTCACATATCAAAGCAATAAAAAATAAATAAATTAAAGTCCCCCACATGCACACGCAAACATGCGTCGAGTCCGGCTACGTGCGAAAACGACGATTACATCCATTGCGCCGCACATGTTACATATCGCTGCGAACATCGGAGTGAGAGCAGTAATTCTAGGGCCATCAATCACTGATAACACTAAACTGATGAGCGGTAAAAGCCTTTAAAGTGTCGCCTATGGCCAATTTTGAGTTTTAAAGCTTGACATGTTTGGTGTCTATTTACCCGACGTGACCCAAAAAAAAATTGGGTAATAATAAATGTTTTATAACATAACACAGGGATAACAGGTTTTTTTTCAACATTTTCGGTACTTTTTTCATTATATAGTAAAAAAAAAAAAAAACCCCCAGTGGTGATTAAATACCACCAAAAGAAAGCTCTATCTGTCCCCAAAAAATTATATAAAATTCATTTCAGTCCAGTGTTGCATGACGGAATAAATGTCAAAGTACTGCAGCGCTGAATACTGAAAAATGGCCTGGACAGCAAGGGGGTATAAACACCCCGGTCAGCAAGTGGTTAAAGAACTTCAGGGGAAAAAATGCATTAACCCTTGCTCCCCTTCATCGCTGATCCCAGGCTCCCTGTGCTCCGTGCGGGCTCAGGACTGGCAAGCTCCAAGCCGGCCAACTGTCACACCACTTGCTCCAGCGTGTTTCCTCTTCCGCTGCAGCATTGGAATCTTCCTCACATCCTATACACAGTGCATAGCTGGATGATTTACGGGACCTTATACTGCTGCAGAGGAGGGGGAGAGAGGTTAAAAGCACCAGTCTAAGAACAAGCTGGCTCTAAGCATCGGGTGAGTATAACTTTGTATTTTTTTTTTTGGACCTAGACAAAAACGAGCAGTTAACCCTTGCAGTGTGAGGGAATTTTTTTCCTGAAGTTCTTTGAAGCGTTTCTAAACCCAAAAACAAAAATGTAATATATTACTGCAAACCAATCCTTTGATATAGTGGCTGCATTCGTTTTCTTGATTTTCACCCGGTGATCTAGTAGTAACACACTGCCTGTCTTAGCGTTGATCCACTCTATGGAGGAACAACAGAGTCACTCTTGGACAGCAACTTTGTCAACCTATGGAGAAGGTTGTGTTAGATGCAGTAGTAGACTTGTAAAACAAATTAAAGCCAAACTCAAGCTAACACTTTTTACGCAGTTACAACACCAATTTGTATTTCTTTTTGATATAAAGGTTTTACATAAATGGATAAAAGTGAACTATTGTTAGTGCCCCTGTACTCGTGTAATATGCCCTGTATTGGCCCTGATACTGATGTTGGGACATCCCTATTTATATATTTAATAAATCAACCCCTATGTGTAGCCAAACATTTTAGTTTTGGATGTAGTAGGGAAGGGTTAAAATCCCTGTCATTGTGCTGTTGGAGAGATTTCTCTTCACTGTGTAGGATATAGGGCATTTCCACAAAGTAAGGGGAATTCCCATTGTAAGCTGGCCAAGCACTGCTCGAATTCCTGCTGAATCAGATCAAATTTAAGCTGGGGCCCAGTTTGCATTAGCTAGCTGAAGAAAAGTCCATTTTCGACTTTTGTCATAGAAGCAGGCCAAAAAAATGTCAGCCAAACAGTGACTGCAGATGCTATGTTCAGCAGCTGCAATAAAATACACAAAGGGAGTGCAACAAACAAAAGATTACTTCAGAATAAAACTGCCTGCACAATCTTTTGCAATCGCACTGCACTGGAACGCACAACATTGCGATATAACGCCTTCCAGTGCTGGCAATCACACTGCGGGTGGGAAGCGCATATGGGGTGCCATTGAAATGAATAATTGTATGTTAAGCACAAGTAGCATGAATAGCTTCAGCAAGGGAATGACAGCTGCCAGAGGCAAGGCTCCGCAGGTAGTGGTCTGGTGCAATAGCCAGCCTGCTATTGCCTATTTCAAATTGGTAGCCAATAGCAGGCTGGCTGTTGCACGTGACCACTGCTTGCTGTGCCCTCCGATCAGGGGACACACAGAGCCAATGAAACACTGTCTCCCAGCACGGAGAAGAAAGCTAGGGGATCCAAATTGACAACTATTCTCATTATTATACAGGATTGATATAGCGCCAACAGTTTACAATAAAAGGAAGACATTACGATTACAATACAATTCAAGACAAGATGGTAAGGAGGGCCCTGCCCCTGAGGGCTTACAATCTAAAAGGGAGAGGGCAAGTGATACATGAGGAGGTAGCTGTGTGGGGATGAATTGTTTGAGAACGTGATGGTTAGTGAGTGGTTAGTTTGAGGTGGGATAGGCTTTCATTGAAGAGATGAGTCTTAAGGGATCACCTAAAGGCAGTCAGAGTGGGAGATAGACGGACAGGTTGGGGTAAAGAGTTCCAGAGGATGGGAGAGACTTTAGAGAAGTCCTGGAGGCAAGCATGGGAAGAGTTGATGATAGAGCTGGAAAGCAGGAGGTCTTGGGAGGAGCGGAGGGGATGGTTAGGGTGATACTTTGAGACCAGGTTTGAGATATAGCCGGGGGCAGAGTTGCAAGTGGTTGTTAATATTTTGAATTTTATCCTCTGGGCGAGTGGAAGCCGGTGCAGAGATTGGCAGAGGGGGGTTGCAGACACTGAGCGGTTGGTTAGGTTGATGAGTCTAGCAGCAGCATTCATGATAGACTGAAGGGGGAATAGCCTGTTTAGAGGTCGGCCAATGAAGGTGGAGTAGCAATTGTCAAGACGAGAGATGACAAGTGAGTGGGTGAGTAGTTTTGCAGTTTCATTGGTGAGAAAGGGGCGTATTTTAGAGATGTTACGAAGGTGAAGGCGGAAGAATTATGATAGTGATTGGATGTGGGGAAGAAAGGTGAGGTCCAAGCCAAGGATGACACCTAGGACCTTGGCATGGGGGGAGGGTTTGATAGTTGCGTTATCAATCTCAGTGGGAACGTTGGGGGAAGTTGGATGTGGGGGTCTGAGTCAAAGATGATGATTAGTTGGTTGCAGCCCTAATGATTCTCCTTGTTTAGCCACATGGGGCTGAAAAAGAGAAATCCAAAAAGTGTATGACCAGCTTTAGGCAGCTGTCATTGGTGTCCCTACAGGAAGATGGGGACACTAGTGACAACCACTTTAAAATTGTGGACTTGACATGACGTTCTGACAATGGTCACCATGATAAAGAGAGGGGTACAATTAAAACGTGGCAGCGCTTCTAAATCCTCTGTACTAAATTAGTTTTGGCTATAAAAGTGCTGAGCACTTCTTCCAATGCAACTGAGAATTAGGCAATAGCAGACAGACATCTTTCCCCAAATCTATCTGAAGGAGGAGGAGGTATGGAACAACACATGGATTGCTTGAAAACGTAGATACTGATTTCCTGGCACTTTGAGAAAAGAAAACGACAAACACTAATGGCAGCTGAGGTCCAGGACACAGAGATCTGCCAGGAAATGACTTTCTCCCACCCGTACACGTGTGTTCGCCCACGGACACCACACACACAAATAAAGGATAACACAAGTGGGCACAGCCCAGACTGAACTTCGTTGTCCTCACCAAGTAAGAGAAGCTTGACTTCTTTGGACGCTTTCTCGCCGTCCTCCCGCAGGTTGCGGTCTATCATTTTACTCCTCTCAACCGCCTCCTTATCCTCAACACTCAGTGTGCAGCCCATGGTGGAACCGGGCCACTATCACCCGTCTCGGGCTGCGAGTCACCAGCACTTCTCCGCCTCGCCCTGCTTCCTCCAGCCAGCCACTGTTGCTTGGCGTCACTACCGCTACAGTTTGTCGGAGTTGACTTGAAACGCAGTGCGCATGCGCGGAGGATACTCGGCGTCGCCGGCTAGCGGGATGTGTGGTGAATGTCTGCTGACTTGCTAGACGCTGGAGAACTTGGAATGGATGTTGTGAGATAGCAGCAGCCTGAAAGTCGGCATGTTCCTATTGTTTGCAACTATCCCTGCATTCCAGGGACATATATTGTGCCTGGTGTGTAAAAGAATGTTTATTTTACATCAACTAGGTTCATTCCAGAGGTTGCTAGGGGTTCCCTGAGGAGAGAGCAATGATAGATTGATCTTCGGCCTATGCTGACCACCATGTTCCACATGCGTGAACGAGTGCATTATTTTTGGGGTGTTTGTCGCACGTCTGCAGGGCCTATAATTCAACACCTGAGGCCGGCGGGAGGCGCATGTTACTGGGGGGGGGTCAGGTGTTGGCAGCATAGGTCAACCGGGGGGAGGGTGCGCAGTACATCTGTTCGGTGTCCCACCAAGCTCACTGACGTCACTGGTTACCAGGAGCTGGGCGGTCATCCTGCTCAGCACCTAGTGACGTGAATGAGCTGGGTGGCAAAATTCCCAGAACTTCACAGGTTGCTAGCTCTGTCCAGAAAGGGTGACCCAATGAGATGGCGCCTATGGCAACCGCCTCAGGCTGCCTCATTATTGGGACAGCCCTGCAAGTGCGCATTAGTGTTACAAACGTGGCAAAGAAGCTTTACATGTTTTTTGACTATACTTTTTTGTGCGTAGGAATGCATGTCGTGGTTAATGATACAATGCACCGCAAGTGCGACATGCGTTTTTCATGTATTTCGGCAAGTGTTAATCGGGATTACTTCTACACTGACCACCAATGTCATGGATCACTTTTATGCTGACCACTAATGTAAGATATTACTTCTGCACTGAGCACCAATGTAGAGGGTCAATTCTACACTAACCACCAAAGTAAGGGATCACTTCTACACTAGACACAGGGCCGGATTTCCCACAAGGCCCAGCCTCTGGGCAGCAGGGAGTAGAGGGGGGGCAGAGGTGTGGAATTCCTATCGCCCAAAGCCCGGGACATGCAGTTCTGGGCGTTGAGCGGGCAGTTTTTTTTCTACATTTAGCCCTGTTTCGGGCAAGCAGGGCTAAATGTACAGTTGGGAAGCCGCCACTTGTTTTCTACAGGTGATCCCGGAGATGTCACTGAGATCACTTGTATGCAGCCTGCAGGTCTGTATCTCTCCCCCGCCGGCTACCTCCCCTCTAAAAGTCGGGCACTCGGTCGTGGACCGAGAGTCCGTCAGGAGAGAGGAGGGGACCCGGCAGCATACCTCATCCCGCTGGGTGAACCTCCCCTCCTCTCTCTGCTGGCGTCCATCACCAAGATGGCCGCTGGCAGGCATCAATCAGATGGCAGTGCATGCGCAATGACGTAATCGTGCATGCGCAATGACGTAATCGTGCATGCGCGAGGTGACGTCACGTGCGATGACGACATGGTGGGGTGTTACCCGGTCTGGGGACCGGGTGACACCCGGCCTCGGGGCGCATCTACGCGTATGTAATTGTCTATCGGTAATTTGGATGGATGATAAGTCAGGTGTCGTCTCTGTTTCCAACACAATGCCTGACCTGGGGTTGATCCTAGATACCAGATTAGCAAGGGATCTTCTGGCCAAGGGAAAACAAAAGGCAGCTAATCTAGAACATTCAGATGCAATGCACGTCCTCTCTATACAGATGTATGTGGGTTCTGCGGCTAATGGTGTAATTCTTCAAGGTGGTCTCTTTTGCGCAGTTCCACACATGAACTCTACAGAGGGACATACTGCCCAGATGGGACAGAACCTATCTCCCTTTACAGAGTTTTTTATCTTCTACCACAGATCAAGTTGTCTCTACTGTGGTGGCTTCAGTCACCAATGGTGATACACAGCCAATCCTTTCTGTCCCTTCACTGGAAGACCCTTAGCAAGCATGCAAGCTTCTCTTGTTAGGCTTGGCTATCTCTTGGTACAGGGACATCAGACCCAGGTTCCATGGCTACTTCTGGATCACAAAGGACCTTTTGGTTGCTTGGATTCTGACTTTTTTTTCATTTGGGCATGGGTCAGTTACTGGCACTGATTGCCATCTGGGGACAAATATCAGTTCTGGCACTTTTGTTTTAACAATTCTTGGCTCCACATTCCTTGGTTTGTACTTTTATCCAGGGGATTACAGCATCAATCCATAGGCTCCATGAAACTTAATCTGGCTTTCTCTATGTTTCCTTTTTACCATCACATTGGTTCAGAGGGTATTATAGCTGGCAGCATTGTCCTGCAAGTAGCTCTTTCTCACCCCTCACAAGAAATAAGTTGTCTAGAGACCACGACCTTCCTTTCTGTGATGGGCATATACTCTTTCTACCCCAATGAGGTCAATGGGGGGGATTTATCAAAACTGGAGAAAACAGAATATGGAGAAGTTTCCCATGGCAACCAATCAGCATCTGTCTTCAGTCTGCTCAGGTAAAATTTGAAAATGAGACAGAGAAGCTGATTGCTTATGGCAGTGCAAATTTGCTCCAGATTATGTCTGCTCCAGTTTGGATAAATGCCCCTCATTGTGTTCTAGACCTGGGTGATTCGTTATGTTCCGAATCAAAATTTGGACGGAAATTCGTAGATTCGGAGCATCCGAATTTCCAAAATATAACATATCCGAAAACATCCGAATCCGAAATTTCGGATTTGGAACGAATTTCGTCCAAATCCTGTGCGTGCACTGTTAACATTTAAATGGATAAAAAACAAATTTAGAGAAGGATTTTAATGTCCCTTTAATAGTAAAGACTAGAGCACAGCAACCAGAAATGACAAATGTGTCAATTCTGCTAGCCCACCTCATGTTGAATTTTCAGGAATTCGTCCGAATTTCAAATCCGAATTCCGAATCAGATATGAATCCAATTCCCGAAACGAAACACATATAGGATTTGAATTCCAAAAACGAAATAAACGAAATCCGAAACGAAACAAAGTTTTAGCCGCTGCACATGTCTATTGTGTTCCTTGTCCTTTTGCCATCTCCTGTACATTTTAAGATGATTGTTTTTTTTTTTCAAGCTGGACATGGTAACGCCACCAGGGTTTTTTGGCTACAGCTTCATGGATTTGTTTATTTCATAGGCATATGCCCTGAAGGCACGGGAACCTCCTTTCCCTATCACTGCCCACTCTAAAAGAGCAGTAAGCACATCCTGGGCCTTTCATCACCAGGCATCTGTTTTCCAGGTATGCAAGACCTGATCTTCGTTTCAAACATTTGCCAAGTTTTGCCTTACGGATGTGACTGCATCAGTCATTTGGAGATGACACACTCCAAGCAGCAGTCTGATCTGGTCATGATATGATCCTTGAGGGTTATATTGGCACCATTGGTTTTTAACCACCCCTCTTTTTTTGGTACTGCTCCTGGAAGTCCCATTAGTAACATATTGACTGAATGTGTTGTGTGCCACAGTGTAATTTGACCTTTTTGTCACCCACTTTGAGCCAGAGGGGCTGAGAGGTTTCAGGAGTCAAGTATCTTTAGAAGGAAAGAACTCGTTTTGCAGTTCTTTCCAGATTCCGCATGGGATCCTGGAGATTTCTAAGAGACTTGGGAGGGATGAAATCTACATTCCTGGGTCCATGTTTTCATAGGTAGCAGCACCTGCTGACTGCACAGGTGTGCACAGCCCTTAAAGTAAAGGTGCTGTTAAAGGTTCAGGGTTCCCCCTGGGAGAGGAGGATGACTCCTTCCAGGAGTCAGAGTGGAGTCCAGTGCAGCAGGGAGCTGCGGGTTGTGAACCAATTATGCAGGTTAGCACAGTATTGAGCCTGTCTGGAGGAAACATGCAGTGGGGCCGGAGCAGTGGTGCTGCAAGAGCAAAGCCAAGAGGCTGGATGAGCATATGTTTATTTTTGTCCTTAAAGTGACAGATGTGTCCTTAAAGTGACAGTAGTCCGCTTGTCTTGTCGTGTTGTGAGTCAATTGTTCTGTTGTTTCGCAAGGTGGCCCTAGGTGGGGCGAAATACCTGATGGTTAAGGAATCGGGGCTTTCGCAGGATTTCTTGTTTCTAACCTGATGCTGAAGACCCAGGTCCTCGCCCGACTCAATAGAGGTCTTTTGTGTCCCACAGTGTCTGTAAGCATGCACACTTCTGGGCTGTGTGCATTGACTTACAATGTGTCTCTCCGCTTCTCCCGGCCAAAGATCTCTACTGCACATGCGCCCGCCTCCTGGTCATAATTAGTGATGCACCAATACCGGTATTTTGGTACCGAGTGCGAGTACCGATAATTTTTTTTCGGGACTCGCCGATACCAATTATCGAGTAACGGAAGTCCCATTCAGGAAGCCAGGTGGCGTGTAATGACTCGCCACCTGGCTTCCTGATTAGCCGGGAAGCCGGGAGGCGTGTCATCTCATGACGAGGGAGCATGGGGCCAATCATGGCGGCCGATCAGAAAGCAGGGCGTCGCGTCATTACATGGCGCCCGGCTTCCTGATTGGCCGGCCAGACGGCTCCGTCTGGGTACCGGAGGAAGGCCGCATTCTCGCTGGAGAGGCCCCGGGGGTGACAGCCTGCACATACTAAGGTAAGGTAGCCTTACCTCACGAGGCGACGAGAGAGGAGCTGCTTCCCGGCCAATCGGAAAACCGGGCAGCGTGTAATGACGCGCTGCCCGGCTTCCTGATACCGGAAGTACTCGTGCTAGGCATCAGAGCATTTGGTCGATACTAATATCGGTATCGGTGCCTCCCTAGTCATAATGCTGCTTGCTAGCAGTAGATATATGCAAAAAAAAGAATGATTCATTCTACTTTAAAGCGCTACTGTTTGAAGCTAGTTCTCACTAGTCCCCAATAAACACTGGGAGAAACATATATTTTTTTGTAATAAACATAAAATCGTATTCTCCAGCAGTTCTTTGTCCCTTTTTCAGCAAAAATGTTTACCAGAATCTATACTTTACAAAGGACATTTTTTTTAC